CCTTCATGCGATCTCTGGCGATCTGTACTGTTCCTGACTTGAGGGACCTAGCTCCCCTAAAAACTTCCCCTGTAGCAGCTCCATTATCCATAACAACTTTCAATGGTCTAGCTAAATCGGACTTTTTACCAAGGCGGTACAGAGATCTTACATGACTGACATCTGTTTTCAGTTTGAGGTCATGGTGAAAGATAGAGTTTATCTGGTCACGATCTTCCTTTTTTCTAACTTCGGTATCCGGACTTTGAGATTCTGGGATGCCGTAAACAATGATGTTGTTCTTCCTTCTCTCTCTTTCCACAAAATCATCCAATTTATCTGCTACCAATTTCTCAACCTCTTCTGTTGAGCATTGTGGTTCCTTGCTGTGGATCGACATATCCTTTTTGAGTTCATCAATTTTTTCCTCCATCTTTTGTTGATTGTTAGAAATCTTTACTTTACATTCCTTCATTTTATCTTTCAACCCTTTCACCTCTGAAGTAAGTTTAGATTGATTGGTTTGCAATGATGATAGCATTTTCAACATGTTCCCAGCTGTGCCATTGCAGGTTCGGCAGTACCAGTGTAATGCACCACAGTCTATATCGTTGATGGTATCATACAGCTTTTTGGATACATTTTGACATGTGCAGTGAAACCAAAATTTGCAAAGTTCGCATTCCATTGCATCATCTTCATCCATTACAATAAGATTGCAACTGCCACAATTGTGGTCTATCTTTGGTTTAGAAGAGCTTGTTGAGTTTCCCTGGCTTCCATCGGCAATTGCTGCAGCAGTAGCGGTGCTGGTCTTCCTTGTCACTGGCTTACTCACACTTGGTTTCCTGCCAGGGCCGGACATCTTGATACTATTCAGAGTAAAGCAGTTGAACTATTTAGTAGAAACTAAAATCAATACCCACTGCTGGTGTCAATCCTCATCAGACATCAAACATAAATCCTCATATATGGGACTGATGTGACCACCCAGGCTTTAAAAAGCCATGTTCAGAACTGTAAAATATCCTCAAAAGTCACTGCAATAAAAACTAAAAGATTACTCACGTACTTAGGAGCAAGGAGAAATCAATACCCACTGCTGGTGACAACTTGAAAAAGTTGTAAATCCTCAACAAACATAAAACAAAAATCCTCATATATGGGACTGATGTGACAATACAGGCTTCAAAAAGCCATGCTCAGAACAGTAAAGTATCCTCAAAAATCACTGCAATCCTCCTCAGAACAGCCTCAAAAATGTATCCAAAGCAATCAATAGATCTTCCTTGGTTTCAAAAAAGACTTTTTGATGACATATCTCAATCCTACCACCGGTAAAAAACAGAAAATTTAAGAGCAAAGTTTCACTACATAACACCATTAACCAATTAACCAATTGATACCATATATTTTTTCATTTATTGATTTATTTACTTACTTATTTACTTATCAATTTATTTATTTGATCCATTCATTCATTCATAGTCTGTAAAAGTCAGTCAGACATGAAATAGTTGGTTACGAGTAGTTATTTTTGCTTGCTTGTCAGAGCTCTATTAGACTGATATGTCAAAATGGACACATTCACACAGATGAGCAAGTACAGTACATGTGTCTGTACAACCTCATGTTAATGTACTCTCAACATAAAAATCAATATGTGACCAATTGACAACTGAAATGGTAGCTCAGTTCGCACTCTACAGTAGGGCTTGACACTAACAGACGCCCACCTGGGACACAAGGGTGCCCAAGATCTATGTCCGGACCCCACAGGTTTTAGTGTTTTTTTCATAGAGCTCATGCATACAGACTGTAAAAAGGTCAATCCCGAGCCCTGTCTAAAGTGTAAACATGGTTCTTAGCATTTTTTTCAATATAACAATTCCCTGATTTTTCCCTGACTGGAAATAAAAGGAACTCATTTTCAAGGTTTAGCTTGATTTCCAGCATTGCTGAGAACCATGTACTCGGTCTGAATATTCCTTGCCATTAAACATCCTCACAACAAATATTTATAAAAATTAACTGATTACTCTGAATAAACTATTTGATTTGAACCCTTTCCCTGTTATGGTCGACTTTTGTCACATCTAGTGGTACACTTCTGGACACTTTGTTCACATGTACAGTGTCTATATACCCGTAAAATCCCTGTGTATAAGGCGCACTCCTATTTTGAAGACAAAAAAAAAAAAAAAAAATTGCTGTTGCCGAAACGAAAACACGCACGGGGAAGGACTTTCAATTAACATAGAGGTGCAGTTGAAGGCGCCAATTTGTGCTTGTGAACTTGCCACAAATAAAAGTAACAATGTCGTTTTTAGAAGAATGTGTAAGATCATTAATGTAAATTAAAAACAGTAGAGTACCTAGGATAAAACCTTGTGGTACGCCGAAGCAAAATTGGAGGAATTATTATTATAAACTACATATTGAGATCTATTAGAAAGATTACTTTTAAACCAAGATGACAGAAAAATTTGAGTGTTGTTCTAGTTTCCGAGTGGTGAGTCAACACACCGATTACTGAGCTGGGAGACATTGCCAGGCATAGCGCCATAAATCGTAACTGAAATATATATATACACTGTATATATTTTTTTTTGCACCTGTGTATAAGACGCACCCAAGACTTTCAATTTTTTTCGGCAGCAAAAAATTGCGCCTTATACACAGAGATTTAGGATAATGTATTTTACATTACAATGTACATGTACAAATGACTTACTCAAATAGTAAATCTGGATTTATGTAGTGCTTGAATACCATCTCTAAGGACCTTTAGATATTATTATTACTTTGGTCATCGCATTCATTCACTCACACAGTATTCCTACCATATTGTAAGGGTATTGTAAGGGCATGGCAATTTCTATCAAAAAGGCTTTTGTCATCCTACCAGGCCCCCGTTTCATAAAACTTGTTATCACTAACAAACGTAACAAATATGACAAATCTCTTCTCAGCCAATCAAATGCCACTATTTCAATAGCTTATATTACAGTCATTGTAACTTGTTACTGATACAAACTTTTATTAAACAGGGACCAGGCGCCCATTTCTCTACAAGTGTACTCTATAGTCGCAATTGTAGATTTAATATCTACATGTAGTCATAAAATTAAAGCACTAGACTACACCACCTCTTGGCAGTTTAGGGATTTGGTTCTCAGAAGATGGAGAATGGAGAATAAAGAACTCTCCATCATGAACTCAAGGTGTAGACCAGTGTAGTGTATAATAATACATTGAAAACTTGTGTTTCTCTGACTTTAAGGGAGGGTATGATAAAAAAAAAATATATATTATTGAAAAACAAAAATTGGAATTGAAATGACTGGCATACAAGGTGAGTTCATGACCACCCATAAGAACCACATGTAGAATCAAAATAACTTGTATAATCTATTAATCTTACCTGTGCCATAGTGTTTCCTACAGAGACATAAATTCACAGTTCCACACTGAATTCTACATGTTCAATACATACAAGTACAGTATGTTCAGCTATTTACCATACCCGTTGATTTAACCACAAACTTGAATACTATTAAACCTCAGAATGGCTGGTCCTGACTGAGCAAAACATAATAGTGTGCATCTTGTTTACTCAGAAACAAAAAGGTTCAGAAGTACAATGACATGTAAATATTGACTGGGATTGTAAATGAGCCAGATACACGTATGGTAAATCCTAGATAAGCTTTAAACATGTGATCTACAAATCGGGTTTAATATAAGCAGAGATATAAAGGGCAGAGTTTCACTTTTCATGACTGTAGCATACATCTGTATGGTTTTTTGCTTGGCAAGTATTCAATTACATTTTATTATAAAATTGTTTTCTTTCATTTGCCAACGGGGGGGGGGGGGGGGGGGGGGGGGCAATATTGATATAATTTATGCCGTATACATAATACATGAATTTGAATTTAAGTTAAAAATTGAAATCGTATTTGAATTAAAATACATTCAAATGCAGTAGCAGGCCTTTTTTTTAGGGGGTGTGAGGGGTAGGCATAAAGGTAGGACTCTATGTACTAGCCTTTGAGATTAGAATAATTTTGTCATCAAAATGAATCATATCTACATGTAAATGTATTTTATTCTGATATATTTTAGAATATTAATATCTACATGTATATCTTGATATAAAAATATTTGTGTATGCCTGAATAATGGCCAATGGCCAATTTCCATAATTTTCAATATTTGGCAACCCTCGGAGTTGCTATTCAGAGATCTACATGTATTCTAAAAATGCATTTAAGCCATAGCAACAACGTGTATTCTTTGCGTTTTTTATCACTTTCCAAGGACGCAAAATATAAAAAAATGAAACCATTTACTCTTCTAGGAGGTAGATTTTTTGTTTTTCTTTTCTTTTCCTTTTGTTTAACTGTTTGTGTTGTTGTTTTATATATTTTGTAACCTTGGTGGCAGAACTTTATTGTATGTGCTATGTGTAAAAATGATCAATGTTGATAAATGTCCTAGCATATTTCCTTGCCCATCTCTGTTCAATCAATTTGCAAAATTGCAAAATCACTTTCTTCAAACTAATTTCTTTTCTGACACTATTTCTTATTCTTGGCCCTGATTCTGGTTAGTAAGATGCAAAATTTCCTCAAAATGTCATTCTAAACCAACTAATACTACAAGTGTCATGAAATATTACTGACATTTGGTAGCAAAACATATATATGGAATGCACTATAAAACACATACTCTGTCCACAGTGTTTCACTATCAATTTTGTGACATTTATATAGCACCCACTACTACTTGAATGATTCTAATCAAAACACACTGTACATTTGGAAGTTTATATACTTTTCAAATTCCTAATTCCCATTCTACATGCAACATTATACCCAATCCTAATCCTACACATTTACGAGATGAAAGCATCGCAGCAAATGTAGATCAATGAACAATTCTGACTATCTGAATTTATTGCTTTGTGTACAAAGGCTTATAAAATGCAATGATAGAGAATATGACAATATTCTTACCTTTGGCGCTTGCTTGTGTCTCAAGACCGTTTCTTCTAATGCTGTCACCCACTGCTCCCTCTCCTCTGCACTCTGGGCTGTACACAAGAATTCAAATCATAAACATCAAGCTAGATTTGTTCATGATCATCTGAGCAGTAAAGTTAAGTTCAAGTAAAGGTAGAAAATAATACACATGTATATCAGCTTTCTACTTCTTTTAAGTGACAGAATATCGAAGTAACATTGTCACATGAAAATGACCGATTCGGAATTGCCCCCACATTCCAGAATTATTGAGAAACAGTTTACAAATTTGGACCAAAGTCTGATGCGATATGTGAGAAGTCCCACATATCCATTTCCCTGTGTAATGTGTTATGATCCACAATCCATTAAAGGGCAATCCCACCCTTGTAATAAGTTTATTTGAATAAAAATAGAAAAATCAGAGAAAAGCAGAATGGCGAAAGTGGGAAATAAATCAGATCAATTAATAAGAAAGTTATGAATGTTTAAAATATGAGATCACTACAACTAGGTGAATCCTAAATTAGCCATTTCGTCAATGGATCGTGACTCAGATAACTCTCCCATCTGTTGTGTACAAAAATATCACTTGTTTCTGTTTTTCTCCTAAGTGCATTCACCCTTTGGGCACTACTCAAATTATAGTACCGGTATGCATTATTATGTAGTGCTATTGCTAAACTGACCTTTAATCAACCTACACCTAAAGCTACACCTTCAAACAGTCTATTGTCTAAAGTTAAAATATGCCATTCACATAATATGACAATGCAAGATGATAATAATGGATTTAAACTTCAGACACTTGCCATACCTTACTGTCTGGATCTCATCAACATACCATGCTAGCTACACCACACATGTTATATTCCATCATGTATATTCAATGCTTTTCATGTTAGAAGGGTTCTTGAATGCATTTTCTCTTTCTCCTAAATGCATGTGTATTTTGTGTATCTTTATTCCTCCCTTTTCCCTACCGGTATTCTTTTTCTCTATTTGTGTACCTGCCACATACAGTACAGGTATGGTATTGGTCATGGGCAGAGCAACCACAAGTGCTTTAGCTTTCAAGTTTTATTTCACTTTTTTGTGAAGAAAGATTTATTGACCTTGGTATTCAATTGCGCAAGTTGCGCGTAAGTTCTGATCTATTTGAAACAATTTAACAGAAACATGAGAAAATTTCTCCTAAAAGTGAACAAAAAGCTAACATTGACCTACCAGAGACACAAATTTACTGTTCGTTCTTCTCTTTTTATTGTTATCATTATCATCATGTTTGTATGCTTTCATTATTGTTTATTTAAAAGGGTATAAGAACAATTAAGTTTAAGGAAATTGTATACGTATATATATATATATATATATATAACACTTTAAAGGGGAAGTCCACCCTGATGTTCAAGTTGTTTTAAATATAAAGACAGGAAAATGAGAGGAACAGGTGAGTGAAAATTGAGCAAATTCTGATTAAAAATGAGAAAGTTACAAATTTTGAAGATGCGATCAATCAAACAGATATTGGCAACTGTGTGACATACTGTATCTTGCGAGCACCCCTGCCATTTCCAATGTACTAAAATAAATCAAACATTATTGCAAATATGTTTCTATTCAAACCCTGAAAGGAAATAAATCTATTCCATCATCAATAACAAAAAAAATGAAATGTTATGTACCTGTAGAGCAAATTGGAGAGGAGTTCGCAAAAAATCAGTGTTGCTACCCCCCCCCCCCCCCCTCCCCCCTAAACAAATATATATATTTCACAAGAATAATAATAATAATAATAATAATAATAAATAAATACATAAATTAATTGATTAATAAGAAAGAAAGAAAGAATGATATCTCTTACCCTGAAAGTGAAATGTCTTCTGGTCCACTGTTACAGTGAATGTAGAATCATCTTCATCATCTATCCCTATTATTGCACCCTGTTTAGAAAGAAAAAACATAAATATAACAAAAATCTTATTTTAAAAAGTGCATACAGCATACCATCTCCTTATAGCACATCTACAAGGTATTTATAAGCAGTCTTTCAATTTACCACCAGTGATTGCAATTAGAGCAAGAGCATAAAGACAATGAAATCCAATGCTCATATTGTTCACATTTTCTAGTAATTAGCATCAATCTTGCTGCAGTAGCCATATAAGATGTAGAACAAGATGACCACTCATCAATCTTGCTGCAGTAGCCATTATAAGATGTAGAACAAAATGACCAATCATCAATCTTGCTGCAGTAGCCATTATAAGATGTAGAACAAGATGACCACTCATCAACCTTGCTGCAGTAGCCATATAAGATGTAGAACAAGATGACCACTCATCAATCTTGCTGCAGTAGCCATATAAGATGTAGAACAAGATGACCACTAATCAACCTTGCTGCAGTAGCCATATAAGATGTAGAACAAGATGACCACTCATCAATCTTGCTGCAGTAGCCATATAAGATGTAGAACAAGATGCCCACTCATCAATCTTGCTGCAGTAGCCATTATAAGATGTAGAACAAGATGACCACTCATCGATCTTGCTGCAGTAGCCATATAAGATGTAGAACTAGAAATGCAATCGTGTCAGAACGATGTGCGTGCAATGACGCCATGTTTCTACGTGTCAAACGAAAGAGCTTCTCTCGGACTATAACCAGAACAATTTGTACGAAGTCTGTAGCTTCTGTGATATTGGGGATAGGTAGGGCGAAAGAAAGGCCTCAACAGTGACCCTGATGGAATGGTAGTGACTATGCCTACGAAGTTTGAAAGAAAATGGGATAGGGGAAAGAACCTAGAAAGGGCTCGCAAGCACTGCGTGCAAAAACCAAAGGGATTTGGTGCATGTTCGTAATTGTAATAAGATCGTTCTGGGGGCAAAAGCGTGAACCCGATATGCACCATAGACAATGCGTGTAATGCATGGGCGGAAAACGTACAGGATCTGTATTATGACCGGAGTTAAATTGTTTTTTCTCTCTCTCTTTACGTCTCTTTATGGGCCATATTTGGTATCATTAGAAAGAGAATTTCACGGTTGTTATTGTAAACCACTCTCTTTTTTTTATATGACAATCCTATCGAAACACGTCATGTAAAATAGATTTACAGGACAAAATGGCGTCTTAAATGGCCCCCTTGACCAATTTCGAAAATTCGGCCACGAGGTGCCCTGCGTATTGGAACTCGGCATGTCACTGCAAATTTTCAAGGAAAAAAAAGGATGTTTAAAGGGCGAAAAGCAGTCTGAAAAAGTGACGTCTTAGCCGATACGTGTTAGATTCGGGCGGAATTCGTGTAGTGACCTTTGTTCAAATGCGATTTACTCACAATTTTCTGTGTGAACATATACCATACTTGGTATCATTCGAAAGGGCACTTCATTGCGGTCAGGTTGACACCATTGTCATTGGCGCGCAATGTATTGAACGCATTAAACACGCTATTACGTGATGCATAGTAAATTCATCATTTTTGGCGATAACTTCGCGCTGACATAAGCGATTATTAACAAACTTAGTGGGCAGTTGTCACGTATATTGATACATGTGTCTGCTAAGTATCATTATTGTAGGTATAAAGATCGCCATTTTAGAGCAAGTTGAAGTTATTTTGGAATTTTCTCAAAAATGGCGATTTTGGAGGGCATTTTTCTCAGTGTTAGGGTATATAATTTTGTATATGGCTGGAAAGGGCATATCTTCAAGTATCTAAATCCAAAAAAGTGTACGGGTTTACCAAGTCATAATGGAGATACGGTTACAGAAAGAAAGCCAATTCCCAGAACTTTAGAGGGCGCTATTTATGTTTTGCATAGCCATTGGAGCATGAAATTTGGCATGGCTATATGTACAATTATGAGATAAAGTTACTGTGAGATTTAAATACAAAACGGAATTTATATGAGAAAGTTATGGCAGTTTTAGAATATTTAGGGTCAATTTTTCAAGAATTTGAGAGATTGTTGACGGAAACGGTTTCAGATTTGAATTTTGAGTATGAAGATGGCATTTTGAAGGGCAGGTTATACATCGCAGATGAAAGAACATCTCTTAGACTATCTAGAGAAAATTGTTAGAAGTTTGTAGGATGTAGGATAGTGGAGATAGGAAGGAAGATAGAAAGGCCTTAAAATGGACCAGAAACGGACAAAATGGCGCCTGGACGTTTACGCATGAGTGATTTCAGAAAACAAAAAAAATAGGTGACCTAGATTGGATATCAGAGATGATGCCTACGAAATTTGAAAGGAAAAGGACTTGAGGAAAGCACCTAACTAGGAATAACAAGCACACTATGTACAAAACGAATGGGATTCCGGACGATAAAGATAAGGAGGATAAGTATATTAATGGGGCAGAATGTGAACGAAAACAAGGCAATGACGAAGGTCATCATTGCAACAAGATGACCACTCATCGATCTTGCTGCAGTAGCCATTATAAGATGTAGAACAAGATGACCACTCATCAATCTTGCTGCAGTAGCCATTATAAGATGTAGAACAAGATGCCCACTCATCAATCTTGCTGCAGTAGCCATATAAGATGTAGAACAAGATGACCACTCATCAATCTTGCTGCAGTAGCCATTATAAGATGTAGAACAAGATGACCACTCATCAATCTTGCTGCAGTAGCCATATAAGATGTACAGTAGAACAAGATGACCACTCATCAATCTTGCTGCAGTAGCCATTATAAGATGTAGAACAAGATGACCACTCATCAATCTTGCTGCAGTTGCCATTATAAGATGTAGAACAAGATGACCACTCATCAATCTTGCTGCAGTAGCCATTATAAGATGTAGAACAAGATGACCACTCATCAATCTTGCTGCAGTAGCCATTATAAGATGTAGAACAAGATGACCACTCATCAATCTTGCTGCAGTAGCCATATAAGATGTAGAACAAGGTGACCACTCATCAATCTTGCTGCAGTAGCCATTATAAGATGTAGAACAAGATGACCACTCATCAATCTTGCTGCAGTAGCCATATAAGATGTAGAACAAGATGACCACTCATCAATCTTGCTGCAGTAGCCATTATAAGATGTAGAACAAGATGACCACTCATCAATCTTGCTGCAGTAGCCATATAAGATGTAGAACAAGGTGACCACTCATCAATCTTGCTGCAGTAGCCATTATAAGATGTAGAACAAGATGACCACTCATCAATCTTGCTGCAGTAGCCATATAAGATGTAGAACAAGATGACCACTCATCAATCTTGCTGCAGTAGCCATTATAAGATGTAGAACAAGATGACCACTCATCAATCTTGCTGCAGTTGCCATATAAGATGTAGAACAAGATGACCACTCATCAATCTTGCTGCAGTAGCCATATAAGATGTAGAACAAGATGACAACTCATCAATCTTGCTGCAGTAGCCATTATAAGATGTAGAACAAGATGACCACTCATCAATCTTGCTGCAGTAGCCATATAAGATGTAGAACAAGGTGACCACTCATCAATCTTGCTGCAGTAGCCATTATAAGATGTAGAACAAGATGACCACTCGTCAATCTTGCTGCAGTAGCCATATAAGATGTAGAACAAGATGACCACTCATCAATCTTGCTGCAGTAGCCATTATAAGATGTAGAACAAGATGACCACTCATCAATCTTGCTGCAGTTGCCATATAAGATGTAGAACAAGATGACCACTCATCAATCTTGCTGCAGTAGCCATATAAGATGTAGAACAAGATGACAACTCATCAATCTTGCTGCAGTAGCCATTATAAGATGTAGAACAAAATGACCACTCATCAATCTTGCTGCAGTTGCCATTATAAGATGTAGAACAAGATGACCACTCATCAATCTTGCTGCAGTAGCCATTATAAGATGTAGAACAAGATGACCACTCATCAATCTTGCTGCAGTAGCCATTATAAGATGTAGAACAAGATGACCACTCATCAATCTTGCTGCAGTAGCCATTATAAGATGTAGAACAAGATGACCACTCATCAATCTTGCTGCAGTACCCATATAAGACATAGAACAAGATGACCACTCATCAATCTTGGTGCAGTAGCCATTATAAGATGTAGAACAAGATGACCACTCATATCTCCTTACCATAGCAACAAATCATGTTGTTAGGCTTAAAATTGGCTTTTGAAGTCTGTTGTGCTTTTTACACAAGGATACCTCAATTTAAATGCCTCATTTAAAGAGGAAGTCTACCCTGATATTAAGTTACCGGTAGTTTTAATAGAAGCAGATCAAAAGATAAAAGATAAACAGAGAGAAACATCAAACATGACAGAGAAAGTTTGAGCAAATTCTGATTGAAAATAAGAGCATTATGAATGTTTGTAGTTGCAATCAATCAAACACAAATTGTCAACTCAGTGATGTATCTTGCTCTGTCCTAACAAACACAAATCAGAAATGTCTATTTTCTCTGAAGAAATGTTTCAATCACACATGCACCCTAAACACAATTATTTCAATTTCATGTTTATATACAACCCCTGGATAAAACAAATCTATTCCATTATCAATACCTAAGAAATGAAAGTTTATGACATTTTCTGTGACAGAGCAAACACAAGAGGACAGCGCATTATACATCACAGTTTTACCAATTTGTGTTTCACTGAAGACAACCAACAAAATTACATGTAGATACTGGTACTGCTCAAACTAAACTAGTTTGTTCATCTTTTTCTGCTTTTTTATTAATCAGCTAATTATCAGGGTGGACTTCCCCTTTAAAACACTTTCAATTGGTTGGTTTCTATTCAATTGTCTTTGTAGGGTGCATTTGTAGGATTTCATGAAAACAATACACGTATATAATGGTCACATGCAGATCTGATATACGCTTACACTAAGGCTTCACTTGAGTCATCAGTATTACTATGTGTTGCAAATATGGAAAGCAAATTGTTCCACTCAGATAGATAATACAGTCAGGTTATCCATACACTGTGATGTTATAAAGTGAGGATCTTTAGAATGTCTTACTATTCTGAGTTTTTGAGATTTTAGACAGCCTGATTTTGACAAGGCTGTGTTTCTCAACACACCTTCATTAACTTTAAACATTCAAGCTAAACAAATCTCACATGCCTCAGTGGCGCTTGTGATCAAAGAATGAGCCTCTATAATCCTCTTTGTATGAATCTTATCTTCTTGCTACCACAAAGTCACTCTGCATTCCTACATTTCTATAACCATGTAGGACCCTAGCTATTTCACTCCTTTTCTTCCTAATTCCCCTCAATTCTTTTCTTCTTTGTCAGATTCTAGATATCTTGACCATCCTTTCTTCAAACTGCTGATTTGATTCAAAAACTTCCAATATACTAATGTAGAGGTGTTGTGCTCTAGATGATACTTAACCGGACTGTGGATCACATGGTTCATGGTTCGAGTCCTGATACTGCACTAATATCCTTTGGCAAGATATTAATCTACATTTGCCACTCTCCACAAGGTGTTAAAAGGGTACCAAGTAGGGTGTTAATGTGCTTGGATTGGCAGGTGTGCATTTGTAACATGGCGCCTGGCCAGGGGAGCAAAGCAATGTACTATCTATTTAAAGGGGAAGTCCACCCTGAAATTAAGTTAGTTTTAATAGGAGTAGAAAAATGAGAGAAACAAGTCAGTGAAAGTTTGAGCAAATTCCGATTAAAAATAAGGAAGTTAGGATTTTTGAAGTTGTGATCAATCAAACACAAATTGGCAACTCTATGACGTATCATGCGAGCTCAACTTCCATTTGCTCAGTACTAAAAAAATCTAAAATTTTCATTTTCCCTCAAGAAAAATTTCAACCATACATGCACCCTAAATATAATAATTGCAAATATGTTTCTATACTCCCCCTGCAAGGAACAAATATATATTCCGTCATCAATAACGAAGAAAACATGATTTTATGGAATATTATGCACAAAGCAAATGAAGGAGAGCTCGTATAATAAGTCACAGAGTTGCCAATTTGTATTTGATTGATCACAACTTCAATAATTCATAACTTTCTTATTTTCATTCAGAATTTGCTCAAACTTTCACTCACCTGATTTTTTTATTATTCTGCCTCTATCGAAACAAACTTATTTTGGGGGTGGACTTTCCCTTTAATACAGATTAGCGATTAATTCAATGACTGGGGTAATAATAATTACAATGTAAAGTACTTAAAAACATAGTTTTAAGAGCTATACAAATTTGACATTTATTATCATTTTAATTATTACTCTTTATGTCTATTCACACAGAGTGAATTGATCTACATGTAGATCTATTCTGAAGAAACCCTTGAATGTAGCAGAGATGTAATAGCTCAGTGGATGCCCAGATGAAGCAGTGGTTTAAGAGGCTCACTGACTTGAAATCATGTACAGTGGCTTATCTAGCTTACATGAACAAGTAGGGTAAAGTCTGAAGTTGGTATACACCCCTTTCCCCATAGACCTAGCTCTGATATGAATCAAGTTCAGTGGTATATCCAGCATAGGATCAAGCCTACAGCTGACGTATGACCGTGCCCCCTTGAACAATCTAAACGCTTGCTTCTTTAAGTTCTTTAATCATATGCAAAAATACATTATTAAATAAATTACAATCAGTATGCACTAAAAATTCTTACAGGAATGGGTACCGATATTCACATTAAAAAACTTACCAGCACATCTGACACCCACATCATATCCATAGCAAATCACTGTCATTTTAAATTTACTTTCTCAAGAGGAAAATGCCAACAGACATACACTGCATCAGGCTGTAGTAAACTAAGTTATCCTAACTTCTCATGTTTCAGGGTTTTTTTTGCTAACTTTTACATCATTGCATGTTAGGAAGGTTGCATTGTCCCATTGTGTTCCTCATGAAGTTTCATATCCAGTATCAAACAAATGTCCATTGAAGATCATATTTATATACTTGTACAGGTAGGTAGGTAGGTCCAGCTCCAAGTAGATGTAATCAATCAGGGTATTCTAACACATTTGAATTAAAAAGTATAAAACCAACTCCAAAACAATCTTTACAGTGTCCTTAGCATGACAAACATGTTCATCGTTCATTGTTCAATACACAGGAGGTGTACTCTACTCTGGTTAAACATGTGTCCCCTGAAGTACTATGACATCATGAGTCATATTAAACAACACTGCCCTCTATTGGCAGTGGGCAAAGGCTTTAAAGCATTTCATACCAGACTGATGTCTATGTACAGTGCTCTGTCCACTCAGTGATGAAAGTTGTACGTGTAAGCTTCTATATCACTTAATTGTAAAGCATCTCGGCCCACACATGCCAGCTAGTTCAGCAGTTGATGCCCTGGATATTTGGTATACTTTACTCTGAGAAGTGATTTATTTACAGCTCCCTCCTCCATAAAGTCTAACTGCTTGAAAACCAGATCACACTTGAGAACACTCCCAACAGAAATACGTGTAGCATGTCAATGTAGTCTCCAGAGCCTGAAAACACTTGTAAAAACAGGTACACTGTCCATACATGTATGTTCAATAATGAATTGAATTGATACTGTACTTCACTTGGCAGTCAAAAGACAGCCTTCATACACTTGCTGGTACGTATGCTGCAATAATACAGTTTATCAAATTTAACTCAATCGGAATCCCACACAAGACTGACATGTAAAACATGCGGAGCACAGCATAAAACAACCATCTTCCTAACTCGGATTAGTCATCTGAATTATTCTGAATCCAAGCAAAGACACCTCTCAATCTAGTCTCTCTTCCGCAAAGGTACACACAGAGGTACAAACAACTGTCCTTCAGGTTTGTACTACATTTAAAGCATGGAGTAAGTCCATGCTTGAAGGCTCCCAGACAAAACCCTAAACAGCTCAAAGGAACAACTACATGTACCAGTACTGTTTGTTTAGGGGGGGGGGGGTATAATTTTCACATTTATTTCAATGCTTCTCGAAAATTGCAGACAGTATAAATGAAGTAGAAGCTCATGCAAGCATAGCCTTGTTTGCCATGTGTTCTATCACTTCTTCTAAAGTTTGTCAGTTCCACTCTTGAGTCTAGCTCCAGGTATGAATTATAGGGCAGGAACAACACATGATTGTGCGCCAAGGCTAGAGTGCCTATATGGCAGCAGAGTTGTGCGCAATAGCAGTATAGAATTATAAACATTATTATGATTGAATTCAATTAGCCCAAACCAGCTTGAGACCCGTTATTGCTAGTTCAGATATTAAGATACCAGGTAGACCATGGCATTTCTTTATAACATGTAAATCTATGAAAACTGCTTGCAACAAAGGATCTACACAAATTCACTTAGCTCTGTTTAACAAGATACAGAAATGTGATATGTGTTATATTTTACACGTAAGTCATCATTTTTTTTAATGCAATGGCTTACCGCATCATATCTGAATACGGCTTTAGTTCTTCTTGATAATAAGAATTACAGAGCTTGAAATTCCAGTCTGCATTAGCACAAATCAAGCAATGCACAGTCATATGAGGAGTTACAAAGTAAGTCAAGCTACAGCAAGACCGAGCACCAAGTCTAAATGGGTCTCTACGGATGCATCAGCCAGCTAACTGGCTTACAATGCAACAGCAGGCTATTGCACACAAAAAAGTACTCATTTGCTTAGGAAAATATGTTATTACTAATGTCCCAAGATTGACAGTGAAATACCCTGATATTCACATTTTCACTGCAAACTACATGTAGCTCAGGTTTATAGTTGTTATCGGGCAGGATTAACAGGCTATTTTATTTTTTAACTTGGTCTAATGAAAACAGACCTAACTCGATTGTGAATAACAAGGTAAATGTAGATTAGAGAATAATGATCCGTGTCAAATGTACTCAAAACAGATACTGTAGCATGGCAAAACTATTGATATTAAAAGGTAAAAGTCAATGAAACTTCATACAAAAACCATACAAAATTTTCAAATTGTATGTATTGGTAGTGACAATGGTATTGAATTTCTTGAAAATTATCCCTATATTGATAGTTTTTATGAATTTAGAATACTGACCTACAAAAAGAATTCCTGTCATTATTCATTTAAAATGATCATCCTTTCATTCTTTTAAATTTTTCAGGAATATATTTTTGTTTACTAGGTATATAAGGAAAAGTAATTGCATTAAATGCCAAAATGTTAGTACTTTTACGTTCTAGGTTTGAAAAACAAACATACAAATAAACAAACAAAACAACCTGTGAAAATTTAGAACAGCAACCCTTTTCTTCACAGAGGCAATAGATCCCATCAAAAAATGTATATATGATTTTTTGCAGAAGCAAAGTCACACACGCAAACGTGTGTGCACAAATGTTCATTGATATTTGATATTTGATGTGTGGGATGATTAATTTTGTTAGGGATTTTATTTGGAACTGCAATGACCGAATTAATACCCAAATCCCAATTGTTTTATTCAAACATCCCATAAGCAACTTTGGCGCAAGTCGATGCCTACACTCTCGCAAACAATGCCTCCTGTTCATCCAAGCGTGAACACATACCACACAAAAATGGTAGCACATGATTTGGGATAAAACACTCTTTCATAAGATGTTTAGTAATTTACTGTTCATAGATGATTTATAAAATAATTATCAAGTTTCTAGGTGCAAACTTTTTTTTGACTCAACCTGTAGTTACGTAAGGCAGCGTACGCTCGGCGTAGTTAGTACGCACCACTACGCAACTCTACATATGGCCTGGTGTGAAAGGGGCTTAAGACAGCAGGAGATTATGATCAGTGTCTACAACATTTGGAATGGTACACAATTGAAATCCACTATAATTTTCTCTATAATTTCATTTTTTGTTAAATCATTGTATGGCTTGATAAGGTGTGAAGTGGCAGTAGATAAAATCAAGATTTGTGTTTTGCACTCAGAGGAGAATTTAAGAATTGTTCATTTGAAGGCAAGAACTGCGGTCCATAGGTTTCCAATAGTCTGGAAAAGGCTTGTCTGAGGCCGGAATGCAGGGTTGAAATTGTGTCAGATAGTATGGAACATGCTGTTCAGGTCCTCACAATTGAGATTTTGAAAGTGCACCTGTAGTTTAAAGCTTTTGTAAAAATGTAAGAATTTTTAATGAATATTGTTTATCAATTCTTAAACAGTAATAACTAAATGACTCAATACTACGAACATGTGTATTTACATTTGATAGATTATTTTCATGTTAATTTGCTGGTAATTCAAATGTCAAGTAACCGCTTCTCCAATAACTCAGAGTATAATTCATCTTAGTTTTCATAAGCCAAGCAGTGCAAGTGTAAACAGCATCTATCCCTAGTTATGATCCAAATCTTCTGATTCTCCCTCTCCCTCGTTTTTTGCCTCTTTTTCTGTTTTTTCCTTTCTTCAGCTCTTATTTCTTCAGGATTCAATATAGCTACATTATATATATATATATATATGTATATATATATATATATATATATATATATATATACCTCCCATCTTTTAATTTTTTTTTTAGATACTTGTGCAGTCGACCAGGTGTTGGAAGGAAGACCCATGGGCCATGGTTATTTAGTTGACCTATTCCATCCCAGGCCCCCTGGTCAGGTGCACCAGTGTCTTTGATATTATTGCCATATTTTTGGTTACTCATTTGTATGTTATTTCTTGACATGTATTGAAAGTGCCAAATAAAAAATATTGATAATAATTAGAACATTGTACAGATGAAGGGTATTTACAGTGGTAAAGAACAGGAGTGGTATTCTGAAAATTATGTAAATTGTAAAATCATGAACAAATATTTTGTTATGTATGCTAGTAGTTCTATGTCGTGAAAAGATATCTTCAAAATATGAGCTTCAAATATTACTTCTCTTAAGAGACTTTGCAAGTTTAAATACACTGTCAATTATAAAAGGCACTATGACCCATTTGCAGGCCAAAAAAATATTAAAAGGTTAAATTCCAACAGCATTTGAAAGACAATACTAATTCAGAACTTTCCTCAAAACAAAATGGCGTAATTGGTACACTTTAAATTGGTTTAGTAAAAAGATTATAAGAGTATAAAGTTTATTGTCATAACAAATGGATCTACATTACGACAATTCATTGGTTAATTTCTACGCATCCATCAATAAGTGTTTATTCCATGCAATTTGTATTTGTTATGACAATTTACGTAATTTCACAAACACAAAACATTTAACACATTGTGTAATACAATCAAAGCCTACCTTGAGACGAACACATCCTCTCCTCGATCCTCTCATCATCTTATCTCGAGACTGCATTGATAGAATATTGAGAAAGATTGAGAGAAAGAGATTTAGAGAGAGGTAGAGCAAGAGAGAGAGAGTGTGTGTGTGTGTGGCAAGAGGGAGAGTGAGGGAAAGAGGAAGGGAAATAAGAGAGGAGAGGAGAGGGGAAGAGCATACGAGAGTGGAGAGAAAAGGGGAATGGGGAAGAGAGGAAACAGAGAGAGGGAGAGAGAGAGAGAGAGAGAGAGAGAGAGAGAAGGAAACAAGTAGGAGAAACAGAATAAGATACAAAAATATAAGCAAGACAGAGAAGAGAAATATGGATAAATCAACAGACAATACTTTTTTGTACCAGTTAACTGACAAATAACATAAGGCACTGGTTTTGTTAAAGGTAAAGACCAGTATTGGAAACGCCCCAATTTCAAAAAATGAAATGGAAGCTCTTATCACCAAGCATGTGAAAAAATATGTTTTGAATAATACATGATGATAAATATTTTGCTGGGAAACTGCCTACTAATTGATATATTTGGTAAATTAGTTTATCTATTGGTGTGTGAGAGATAAAAACGCACGTGTTGCGCACGTGTGCGCAACACGTATATGGTCCCATATGGATAGTCCCATATACATCTTTCTGTGTACAGTACTTGTAACTTCATGAAGACTGGGACAAATTTCTTATCATTTTGATGATTCAAGAACCTTGCAGTACATCTATGCTAGATGATCAATTTTATTGTGAACTATTAGTAATTACTTTCAATATTTGTTAACCCATCTCATTGCAACACACGATTTTTCCATGTTGTATCGTCGATTCAACCGGCGAAGAGAAAGTACGCACTACCACGCATGCTATTTTCTCTTTGCCATGTTGAGTCGACGATACAACATGGAAAAATTGTAGGGGTAGGACGAAGAATCACCCCCTTTTTCCCATCGAAGACTTCTTCAAATTATAATTTCAAGTTGCCAGATAGATGCCCAGAGGAGTCGAGCAACCTAGTAAGTCAAAATTGTAATTACTCCCTTTGCATATTTTGAGATACTGTAATGTCACCCAACCCGCTGTTTCGATGCACCACCTGAAGCTCCAACGCCTTCGGCATCGGCGTCGGAGCTTCCTTGAGTTAGTAGTACACTTGCAAGTGAACTACTTACCATACTGCTGCTGAGCTGAGCCTTCGGTCGTGAAATGGCAAAACAACGTAAATCAAATTTTTTGGCAAATTCACTTTTTTGCAGATTCCGAGTTGTTTTGGGGTCCCTTAACTACTCAAACATTCCCTAGAACTAGAAATTGCCACGTACCGAGATTTTACCCCTCTTCCCTGGCAAAAACCCTATCATTTTGCCGGCAGAACATTCTCAACGCGCGTTCGTGGTTGAGATGGCAGAACAACGTATCACCTCAATTGTTCCTCTGTGTTATAACTGCATGCTGCTGTGTGTGTTAGTCCGGTCCTATCGATATCTCAACTCATATCGATTCTTTGACATACATTGTTTTGCCAGATCACCCCGTTGGCACCGTTCACGCGGCTAAACAACGTATCTTTTACACTTATAAATAAATCATAATTTAAAGCCCCACTGCACTACTTATAGCTACTTGCGCCCTCTATAAGCAAACAATGCCTAATCGGTGACCAACGGTCCGCCTTTTCTTATGTTAGTTCAGAGCTGATTGATGAGATAACCACCTGTCCGTGACCACGCTGGGCTGTCTAATCCCTCCTGGCCAAACTAGTGCAGATAGGCGTTAAGGGATTAGACTAAGTAGATCTAGACCTCGAGGAGATTTTGGTCTGAATATGTTAATTGTTATTGACATTGTTGGTCATTAATTATCATGCAGAATATCAGATATCAAACACAAAAACTAAAAGAACTGTCCTCCTTCAAAACTTCAAACTTGATTGTCTCCAAAAGTATGTGTAGACCCTGGTCTAGGTAGGGAGGCCAATGCCCGGGCGTAAGGCTTCTATACCTACAATTTGTGCGCTCGTCGTCCACTTAAAAAAATTAGCAGAGAGAAAAAAATGATGTAAAAATAAAAATTGATGAAAATGAGAAAAGAAAATACAATTATACATTTCACAACATACCTATAATCACGGATCTGTAACGGTTTTTCACCATTTGTTGACGATCTTGCAGATTTTGACGTATTTTAATCCAATATTTGTCGTAGCAGAAGAACATGGCGCGCACGCACCACCGACTAAGAAAATCCTAGAGGGCGTACAGGTTTGCTCACTAAAAACCTTCTCATTGGCAGAAGGTAGACCCTAAAAATATGGGATCCGTTTTGAGTAAAGAACTTTTGATAGAGATCAACATTTCAGATGTTCACAATTGTCACTTTTAACAACTAGAAAATATAAAGAAAAAAGATTATATCTTTTTAATTACAGATTTTTACAAACTGAACATTCGAAGGTAGATAGAGTACGATGTTTATGTCAATCTTGCGTTGGTTTGAGCCCCATAGCTACAGCCATCTCAAAATGAGAAGAAAAACTGTGAACAGTGCTGTCATTGTTCTAGCCAAATATGGAAGTCTTGCGACATCATAATATGAATATGTATGAGCTCCGGTCATATCGCACGCCAGACAAATCTCTCGTAGTCTCACACACAGTACCTTATTCTCACAGCACTATAGACTCGAGTGTCGAGCTCGTGCAGTAAATCATGCATGAGAAATGTTAAAAAAAGATATTTCAGTAAAAAATGTCTACGTGAGCAGTCTATACTCCAATTGAGAAGTTCGGTTGAAAAGACATGATTGGATGATGTGTTGTCACGTATAGCCGAAGAAGAAGAAGGAGAGAGAGAGAGAGAGAGAGATATCCAGGTACGGTAGCTAGCTAACTAGGTACGTACACATGCGAGGTGCATGCATAGTATCGGGGATTAAATAATGTGTTGCGCTGATTTTGGAGGTCGTTCTTGTTGATTGTACAGTAGATCTCCGACTGAAATCATAAGGAATACTCATGAGGAAATCAAGTTATTGGAATACACATCTAAGGTAAATATCAATGAATTATATCTATTTCTTTCCTGCCAATTTTGATATCTCTTCTTCATTTTTAAACCATCACCTTCGGCTCGTAGTAGTAGAAGGTGTAATCGTTCGCACATTGATGGCTGGATTTCAGCCTGGATCGGGGCTTGCCTGTGTAGGTGTGTACGTGTGCGACCGATTCAAGGCTAGCCGCTGTTGAGTGATTGTACTTTCTCGCAAAGTTTTAAACTTCATCATGAACTTTGTCCGGACAATGACACGCCCATTCCCTCGGGCCTGTCTAATTATGAACGTAATTTTGCGACATGAAATATAATTGTTTCAAGGGCAAGGCTCTTAGATCTAGTCTATGTACGGATAGGCGTAGAAGGAAATGGCTACAAAAGAGCTGGATATCTCCTATTTTATGGAACTTATGGAGTCGTTAGATGGGTGAGTTGTCTTAGTGAAAGAAAATGCTTTCTTTTAATCTTTGTTTTATTATAAACAAATTAGTAATTAAAAAGTTAGATTTGGGCATTGGCCTCCCTAGTCTAGGTCTAACTTAGATCTAGATACGTTGTTTTGCCATCCCTCGGGCCACGGCCGTCCGAGCCTCTGACCTGTCAGTGCAGCTGCAGTGCTGAGCGAGTCAGACTGCTGGGAGTAGATCTTAGTCGATACTCAATTTATTTAATGCTTAAATCTAATTGAAAATTCAATAATATTCTGCAATACTCACTGTGTAGTAGGATAATAGGCCCGTCTGCTGGTCTAGCACAAACCAACGATACTGCCATCCTTTCATAACATTTGTCCATTTACTAAGTGGCCCTTCGAGGCCAAGGGCGTTTGGCCTGGCCGACGACATCTTGAAAATGATATTAACATTTAAATTAGCGCCATCTCTAGCTCGTTTTGGGATGGCCCGCAAAGTTTGAAAGGGAATTTCCCTCTTTACTTCAGCCGATCTCAGTAGCGCGCGCCTGTGCAGTGTCGTGCCTGGAAGCAATTGACTCATGCGCAGAAGATGCAGAAATGAACTTTATTTTTTGTATCGAACAGATCGATATTTTCTTCTACTTTTTTAATTGCGACTTCACCAAACCATGTCCACAGATGACAAGATATTGCTGTGCATGTGCCTGGCATCCTGATCGTAGAGAGTATAGACTACCTAGATCTAGTACCTGCTGCTGTGCCTGTGGTATTGCCTATTGGCTAGTGCCTTGGCTTGTATTGCTTAAGTTAATTAAGCATAGTAAGTATTGTGTTTTTGACATTGACAACCCAGTCAAATGTAGACCGAATTTTCCGTCTCTTTCGTTCGTTAAGCCTCTTATTTGGGTAGGGTCAGCTCTCTCTTAAGAGGCTTAACGAACGAAAGAGACGGAAATTCGGTCTAAGTCAGATGGTGATCAGTTTTTATACACATTTTCCATCGCCTAATAAAAACCAACATTACAAAAGGCGACATGATCTATATTTCAAAACAACATTAGCAGTACATAAATGAGACCCAGCATCTAAAACAACGAGTATGACAATCATTTCTGCAATTCTAGTCAAAAGGTGCACATGTCACTTGGTTTTAGTTTCCAAAACTTGTTATCTTAAGTATGGATATCCCCAGTTTTATTGGTTTTTAGTTTCAATTTATCAGATAATATGTTGAAGTACATGTAGTTATGCGATTTTGGCTATGTCCTATCCATATAGTGGCTTCAAAGTCATAATTTAGGCAATTTGTTTACCAGTAGATATTCACATGAGGAGGGGGAATCTTTGCATGCTCCTCAAGAATATCTTGAAATATGCAAATTTTCAAAACAATATCCTGTATTATATTCCACATACTAAGAATCTTGCAGTCACCCAACTGCAGATTACAAACTATGGGGTTCAAGTCCCGCCTGCGGCACTGATGTCCTTTGGCAAGATGTTAATCTGCATTTGCCACTCTCCACCCAGGTGTAAATGGGTACCTGATATGCTTGAGTGCTACGCCCAGGGTACTATGTGTGAAGCGCCATGAGCGTCAGAACCTGATGGATACGCTATATAAATAGCCATATTATTAATTTTTTTTTTTTAAATGATGGAAGAAGTGAAATGTTTTCGATGTGGGCGATACTATTTTTCATCGCCAGATTTACTTTTGACCAATTGTAGAGCAAGATTCTTAGTAAATGGAATATAAAATGCAAATGATCACTTTTTGGTTTCAGGCAATGGCAAACTATCACTTCCTTGACGATCTTATTCTTTCCTCAGCTTCGCTTCGGAAAGATATAGCTACATCCAGATCGCCTCGGAAGTGATTGTTTGTCCCTTCACCTTCACCAACGGTAATTATTTGCTTATTATTGTACATACAAGCCTCTTTTCCCAGAGAATAAAATCATGTACAGTATAGTATATTTGATTCCCTTTCTTTGATCCAGTTCAATCCAGCATATTGCTTCTCCTCCTTATAATACTCCACCATTCGAGAGTCAGCTTGCACAATCAAAAATAGCACGCATTTAATGAGACGGGTCTATTTTCTATTGACCATGTGACGTCACAAGGCTTATCAGTTAGTATTTTGCCTTAAAAGTCGACTTGGTAAAAGTAAAATGCTAAGATATGATCTGAATACGAGTTGAGACATACACTTAGCCAAGAACAATTCTATTTGAGATGCTAACTTAATCCGCATACTGAATTGAATATGGCCCCAGTATATCATGTTAAAGAGAAGGTTGAGTTCTGGGAAGAGGTAAAAAATAATTTGTGAGCATTACTCATTCTTATTATGCAAGTGTGGAAGAACATCAGTTAAGACATGTTCCCTGAAAAGCATGGCTCTTCAAATGCCTTCATATTCTAAATATGCATGTAACATCGTAAAAATCGGGGGGCCGGCTTTTTACGCCACGTGTTCGTGTAGTCCCATATACATCTTTCTGTGCAAGGGTTTGTAACTTTACCAAGACTTGGCCACATTTCTTATCATTTTGATGATTCCAGAACCTTGCAATACACACAAATTCTTATATGCTAGATGATCAACCTTTTCTGGTTGGTTCCACACCATTTCTTTCACAATGCAATCGCATGACCAGAACTCAACTTCATCTTTAAATGCGTTGTTAGTATTGCATTTAAACACCAATTTATATTCAAAACTTTAAATCATCTTTCATTTCGACTTGCCAAATTTTGCTTTAAAGCCTATCTGCACTAGTTTGGCCAGGAGGGAATAGACCTCCGTCCCTGCATGGTTACTGACAGGTGGTTATCTCATCATATCAGCTCTCGATTAATATAAGAAAAAGGGGATCATGGGGGACCAACAATATGATTAGGCATTGATTGCTATATAGAGGGCGCAAGTAGCTATATAGTGCAGTGGGGCTTTAAGACTAGCCGAGACACTGATAGATTGATACACTTATCTTTCAATCCTTTAAATTTCACTGTATGATTTTTTTATGTATAATAATAAATAATAATTATATTGGATATAATTTTTGTATAATTTTTGACAATGGATTTCAGGATCAGCATGGCATATGAAGCATTTCCATCTGATGCTGTGGAAGCCTTTAATGATCCTGGGATCTACTATGTTCATGAGAATGGCAAACTGAGAAGTCCACCAGGACTTGGACATTCCTCGCATACTACAGCCTTCTCCGAATCTGGACTACCCAAACTTTCCCCCTTTGACATTGGGGAGAGTACTTCCGACAGAGGCACATGCTTCGTCCCTCGTTCCTTGTTCCAGCAGACAATAAATTTTGTGGCAAGAAATCTCTGGAGAGTGGAGTCTTTGGTGGGCTTTCCAGACATCGTTGGGAAACAGCTCTTCGATGCGGCCCAGTCTCAGGGTATATTCACCAACAAGCAGCTAAGGCTGACCAGTCTGAGGCTGTTTGTAGAGGCCTATGACATTGAGGTGATTAACAAAATGTAACTCTTTTAGCAGTCCTTTAGTTGTGATTCAATTATTTAGTAAGATGCATGATCTTCATATTCATTTATTTGTTCAAAAATCATTTTTCTACTTTGTTGTTAACAGAACAAATATTAATAATGTGTTTATATAATACATATTCCATATATGTTCAAATGTCCTTTTCAACTATGTTATTCACAGAAGAGGTGAATTTTGACATATATTTTGAAGGTATTGAGAGATTGTTGGTTGCGAAGAAATCTGGGTAGGTTATTCCACAGTTTGGGAGCAGCAGTTGTGAATGCTCTGTCACCATGGGTAGCATCTTGGAATACGGATGGTTCAGCATGATGTCTTGAGACTATTTGAGAGGAGCAAAGGGAGAAATGGTTGCCAGATAGTTATGAGATTAGATAGGGAGGGAGGAACAATAATCCTATAGTCTCCTAAGCTATTGAAGAATTCAAAGTTCAACATTTGATAAAATATTTTCTACAATCTGCAACATTTTTCCTCACCTTTTTGAACAGTTCATTAACTTCCAATTACAAATTGGAATTACTGAGACTTTTTAATATTCTGCCATTATGAAGACAGATAATTTTTTTCATAGCCGATAGCATGTTGTATTGATATTGTAAATATGCATTATCACACTCTTTATTATTTTTTTTAATTTTTCTTCAGATCTTGTCTAGCCTGAACCTTAAAAGAAAACACGTAACACTGAAGGATTATGCTGGTGAAATCATGCTCTTCTCTGGTCTCCAGGAGCTTGAACTTGGAGGATGCAGCTTGGGTGAAGAACATGAGATGTGGTCTCACATCGGTAGCATGCCATGGTATGTTCTAGTTATTAGAGTGTGTGGTCTCACATCGGTAGCATGCAATGGTATGTTCTAGTTATCAGAGTGTGAGGTCTCACATCGTTAGCATTTCATGGTATGTTCTAGTTATCAGAGTGTATGGTCTCACATCAGTAGCATGCAATGGTATTTTCTAGTTATCAGAGTGTAAGTTCTCACATCGGTAGCATGCCTATTCTAGTTATCCGAGTGTAAGGTCTCACATCGGTAGCATGCCATGGTATGTTCTAGTTATCATAGTGTAAGGTCTCACATCGGTAGCATGCCATGGTATGTTCTAGTTATCAGAGTGTAAGGTCTCACATCGGTAGCATGCCATGGTATGTTCTAGTTATCATAGTGTAAGGTCTCACATCGGTAGCATGCCATGGTATGTTCTAGTTATCAGAGTGTAAGGTCTCACATCGGTAGCATGCCATGGTATGTTCTAGTTATCATAGTGTAAGGTCTCACATCGGTAGCATGCCATGGTATGTTCTAGTTATCAGAGTGTAAGGTCTCACATCGGTAGCATGCAATGGTATGTTCTAGTTATCATAGTGTGTGGTCTCACATCGGTAGCATGCCATGGTATGTTTAAGTTTTCAGAGTGTAACTAGGTCTCACATCGGTAGCATGCCATGGTATGTTCTAGTTATCAGAGTGTAAGGTCTCACATCGGTAGCATGCAATGGTATGTTCTAGTTATCAGAGTGTGTGGTCTCACATCGGTAGCATGCAATGGTATGTTCTAGTTATCAGAGTGTGTGGTCTCACATCGGTAGCATGCAATGGTATGTTCTAGTTATCAGAGTGTGTGGTCTCACATCGGTAGCATGCAATGGTATGTTCTAGTTATCAGAGTGTAGGGTCTCACATCGGTAGCATGCCATGGTATGTTCTAGTTATCAGAGTGTAAGGTCTCACATCGGTAGCATGCAATGGTATGTTCTAGTTATCAGAGTGTAGGGTCTCACATCGGTAGCATGCCATGGTATGTTTAAGTTTTCAGAGTGTAACTAGGTCTCACATCGGTAGCATGCCATGGTATGTTCTAGTTATCAGAGTGTAAGGTCTCACATCGGTAGCATGCAATGGTATGTTCTAGTTATCAGAGTGTAGGGTCTCACATCGGTAGCATGCCATGGTATGTTTAAGTTTTCAGAGTGTAACTAGGTCTCACATCGGTAGCATGCCATGGTATGTTCTAGTTATCAGAGTGTAAGGTCTCACATTGGTAGCATGCCATGGTATGTTCTAGTTATCAGAGTGTGTGGTCTCACATCGGTAGCATGCCATGGTATGTTTAAGTTTTCAGAGTGTAACTAGGTCTCACATCGGTAGCATGCCATGGTATGTTCTAGTTATCAGAGTGTAAGGTCTCACATCGGTAGCATGCAATGGTATGTTCTAGTTATCAGAGTGTAAGGTCTCACATTGGTAGCATGCCATGGTATGTTCTAGTTATCAGAGTGTAGGGTCTCACATCGGTAGCATGCCATGGTATGTTCTAGTTATCAGAGTGTGTGGTCTCACATTGGTAGCATGCCATGGTATGTTCTAGTTATCAGAGTGTGTGGTCTCACATCGGTAGCATGCCATGGTATGTTTAAGTTTTCAGAGTGTAACTAGGTCTCACATCGGTAGCATGCCATGGTATGTTCTAGTTATCAGAGTGTAAGGTCTCACATCGGTAGCATGCAATGGTATGTTCTAGTTATCAGAGTGTAGGGTCTCACATCGGTAGCATGCCATGGTATGTTCTAGTTATCAGAGTGTAAGGTCTCACATCGGTAGCATGCAATGGTATGTTCTAGTTATCAGAGTGTAGGGTCTCACATCGGTAGCATGCCATGGTATGTTCTAGTTATCAGAGTGTGTGGTCTCACATCGTTAGCATGCCATGGTATGTTCTAGTTATCAGAGTGTAACTAGGTCTCACATCGGTAGCATGCCATGGTATGTTCTAGTTATCAGAGTGTAAGGTCTCACATCGGTGGCATGCCATGGTATGTTCTAGTTATCAGAGTGTGTGGTCTCACATCGTTAGCATTTCATGGTATGTTCTAGTTATCAGAGTGTGTGGTCTCACATCGGTAGCATGCCATGGTATGTTCTAGTTTTCAGAGTGTAAGGTCTCACATCGGTGGCATGCCATGGTATGTTCTAGTTATCAGAGTGTGTGGTCTCATTCTAGTTATCAGAGTGTAAGGCAGCACCCCAGCTATATGGCCCCAAATTCATGACAGAAGTTTAATTTGTTAGACTTAACAATAACCTTTGTAATACAATTAGCACAAGCAAGTGTTTCATGGCCTATATCCATTGCACATGAGGATATATGTGTATTGTAAATGGAGATTTAAAACTTAGATTAAGATTAACCTCTTTCATGATCGAGTCATGACTTTGGGAATTTAGATTGAATTCTTTTGACTGGAGACTGCTGAATATCATATGTGAAGTTGTAGAGTACCTGTCGATTGAAGACGCTGGTGAAACTGAAGAACATTATAGTTGACTATTCAGAAGAGAAGGACTAATCCTAAACCTATCATTTTGATCTTGTTAAACCTTAGATCTTTTACCTTCATTCACCTTTCAAATAATTGTCATCAGACCCAAGAGATTGAACTGTTTGGTGTTTTGGTTCTTTTGTCTCTCATATCTTCTTTTTTTTTATGCCTCCGTTACGAAGTAGCCGGAGGCATTATGTTTTCGGGTTGTCCGTACGTCCCGTTCTTGTGATCGCGTTATCTGAAGAACCAATTGATGGATTCCTGCCAAACTTTGGTCATGTATGTATCTTGCAGAGCCAATGAACTGATTAGATTTTGGGGTCACAAGGTCAAAGGTCACAGGGCTCATTATGTATGCAAAAACAGCTCGTGATCGCGTTATCTGAAGAAACAATTAATGGATTCCTGCCAAACTTAGATCATGTTTGTATCTTGCAGAGCCAATGAATCGAGACTCATTATGTATGCAAAAATAGCTTGTGAACGCATTCTGATTAGAACTGACAGATGGATTACTATTTAACTCAGGACATCTTGCAGAGCCAATGAACTGAGTGGATTTTAGGGTCATGACGTCAAAGATCAAATGATCGTATGAGAAATTGCTTGTAATCACAATATTCTGAGAACCTGTTAATGGATTACAATTGAACTTGAATTTATAAAATTTCTTCTGTTTTGGTTTGTAAAATTGCTCTATGACGGAGGCATCATTTTCAACTGCGCGCAGTCGAAGTTCCATCTAGTTTAAACATAATTTCTCATTCATGTGTCTCATTCTTTCTGATTTTGACAGCCTTCAGAAACTTGGACTAGGAAGAACTGGTCTGAGTGATGGAGTTATGCAGAAACTGACCACACCCCTCAGACTAATGGGTAGAGGACCAAAAGGGCTAAAGGTCCTAGACATGTCAGGTTTGTAGATCTGCAGGGCCCCATCTTTAATATAAAGAGTTGTGATTGATTTGAATCAAGATTAACTTAAAATTAATCACAAGTGCACAGTACTTGCGATTGATTTCAATTGCAACTCTTTATAATACACGGCCCAGGTATTTGCATGTTACATTATTTATTAATTCATTAATTTCATGGACCTCAGTTTTTGACATGGAATCAAGGACTACCAGTATGTAGGGTGATATTCTGAACACGATTTAATCTCTCAAGTATTTCATTTTATCTTAGAAATAGAATAGGTATATTCTGATATCACTTTTTATTTCAGATTTTATCTGTCAATTCATCTCAGTCTCTTGCTTCTCTAGTGCCATTACAGTTATATGCATGAAACTCGCTACTTTATCACAAGCACCGATTTTATTTTATGTGAAGTATGTGAATTAAAATGATAAAGGGGCTACCAGTATTTATCTCTAGGATGCACAGTAAGTGCTAAATACGAGAATGCTGCTCGTCTTTTGATCAAATTAAACAAAACATACCGAGTATGAACTACATTTTTCAAGCAACATTCTTGTTGGATTATGATATTTGCCGATGAATATCACATCATGTTCAAAAGTCTCTGAAACTACTGGAAAATCCCATAAAAACTATTTTTTTGCTTTTATGCACATGTATATGCAAAATGTAAACATGACACATTCATTTTCTCTTGCCCACACAGAGAGTGATTCTATTCAGTAGCAGAACCTGACGAGTGTTAAATCTAACAACGTTTCTTATTGGTTATTGCATCATAAAAAGGGGCGTGTCTAAGTGAGATAAAATCTTGCTAAAATGATTCTCTGGAGCTGATTTGAGAAAAATTAAAGGGTATTTTATCTCACTGAGATTTTAAAAATCTCAGAATACCACCTATCAGTACAATCCTAATTTTTTAGAGAAAGAAAAGAAAATGTCTTGTACATTAGGATTTTTTATGCCTCCGTTACGAAGTAGCCGGAGGCATTATGTTTTCGGGTGGTCCATATGTCCCGTTCTCGTGATCGCGTTATCTAAAGAACCTATTGATGGATTCCTACCAAACTTTGCTCATGTGTGTATCTTGCAGAGCCGATGAACTGCTTAGATTTGGGGGTCATGAGGTCAAAGGTCAAAGGTCACAGGGCTCATTATGTATGCTAAAACAGCTCGTGATCGTGTTATCTCAAGAACCGATTTGTGGATTCCTGCCAAACTTAGGTCATGTATGTTACTTGCAGAGCCAATGAACTGAGTAGATTTTGGGGTCATTAGTTCAAGGTCAAAGGTCATGCGGCTCATGTATGCAAAAATAGCTTGTAATTGAATTATCATTAGAACAGATTGATGGATTCCTATTTAACTCAGGACATCTTGCAGAGCCAATGAACTGAGTAGATTTTAGGGTCATGAGGTCAAAGATCAAAGGGTCATATATGTATCTGAGAAATTGCTTGTAATCACGATATTCTGAGAACCTGTTAATGGATTACAATTGAACTTGAATTTGAAAAATTTCTTCTGTTTTGGTTTGTAAAATTGCTCTATGACGGAGGCATCATTTTCGACTGCGCGCAGTCAAAGTTCCATCTAGTTTCTATATGTAATCATTTTTTTAGGTGCTCCAAAGTATGCTTCAATGACAATTTGCTCCGCGATTTTTATTTGTAAGATAATGAGGCTTTGGGCAAAAGTTGCCTTGGGGGTTTTAGGTTAGCACAGGGGTGAAATAAATTAAGAATTTTTCATCAGTTTGGTTAGTGTAGGAAAATGAAATGGTCTGTGGAGCAACTAATGTTACTGGAGGATGTCATTATACCCTTTTTTATGATAAAATTAAAGAAATAGTTACACCTTTTCATGTTTGTAATTGATTGTTTGCAGGGAATGCAGAGATAACAGAACGCAGTATTCGATTCCTGAAGGCATTTCATTATCTAGAGGCATTAGACATCACCAGCTGCTGTTTTTCAGTGAGTCTTTCAACCCTTAACCCACCTACCTCTCCAGTGTATGGTTGTTTATCCTTGTCACAATCTCAATTATTTCCTTGTATTAGGGTCTGTTTTTATAGCTTAAGCAAGGACAGTCTTTGTTATGATGATTAGTTTTCCCTTTTGAGGTGCTCTGTAGCCCTGGGGGCCGTTTCTCGAAACCGTCATAACTACAAGATCAACGACATCTCGCCACTGTCACGCAACTTGTCAGCTAAGTGTTTCACGAAGCCGTCTTTGCCAAGATGAGCGACAACTTCCGCGACAAGCGAGTTGTCACTGCTCCGAACCTGTCATATCTTTTTAATTGCTGTAAAGCGCCATCACAAGTCAGTTTGTTGCCATTCCATGGGCCGCGAAATGGACGATTAGTTTCACTATCATTTTGAGAAAAATATAGACAAGTTCGGTACGTAATTCTCTGGGATGCGAAATGCAAATGTACAAAAGTGAGAATACAAATCATACAGAAACTTTAAAAAGCTGAATATAAACATTAAATCACAAATCATTAAACTATAACATATAAATAAGAGAGGTAAGAATGTTACACACCGTTTTCCATAGTCGATCCATAGTCTTTTCTTAGGATACCGTCATACCTTTGGGGCCTATGTGCATTATTATTCCCTCTCTAATTACTTCTTCCAAATTATATTTTCAATATCAAATTAATTATATAACGAGTATTAATGAGACTCTAGAATAAAAACTGGCTGAGAAATGACATTTTGCCTAAAATTCCTCGTCACAATAAACAAAAAAGTACGTATTGATAAACTATCACATTACGGTATCCTTCAACTAACTTTTGATTCGGCTGTCGAAAACAAAACACTCACCGGTTTTTCTTCAATTTGAGAATCTTTACAGAAATATACAAATCGTTTGATGATGTAAATATGATAATGTTACTATTCATTATTTATTTTAGGAGAATTTATATGTATATATTTCTTTTTGAACAATTTTAGCCCCAAAACTTGTTCTGGGTTATTCTTCATAAATCAAATGGATCGTGACAAAGACTATCTTCTTGAGCTGCTAGTATCGCGATATATATCGATATCATGTCTGTCATGGCTTTGTGAAACGGTTTATCCACTTCATGACATCTCCGTATGTCGGCGACAAAGATATGACTGTCATGGAGTTGGTTTCGAGAAATGGCCCCCTAGTTCTTTTCTTACTGCAATGCTAGGCATGCACCCAAGTGCTAAATTCTTTTATGTTCAAGGCTGGGCTGGTTCAGTCAAACAGTTTTGGAATCGGTCTGCAGCCAGCTCTCACACTGAGAGGACCTTTGTTTCATGAGCTGGGGTAGCCCCGGGTAGCCACACCCGTTATCCTTTTAAGGTGTCAGCAAGTTTTGCTAGCAGTAAGTTAATTTGTTTTCTTATTTTCAGAGAGGTAAGTTATTACCAGTTTCGTACTTGTTTATTCAAATAGAATATGAAGATAAGATACTTGTTTATCCTTATAGTATATAGAATAAGAAATTAGCAGATGATTTAATTTGTGAACTTGTGCTATTGCATGAAGTATGCACATTTAGGACATACATATAGATAGTACTTTTGCATTTTTACTGAGTAGGCATGTTTTATATATTAAAATCATTAAAAAATAAGCTTGAACAAAGTCAGTGCTTTTAAACCTTTGATACATACGGCATAATATGTTGACTGATCTTCTGTAAACCCAGAAGTTATACTTTAGTTTAGGGCATGGCCTTACAAGATGGTATTCAAATAGATCTTGTGTATTTTCTGTGCTGATTTCTTAAATAAATTATCTTAAATATTGGATGTTTTCTTTTAGAAGGTTTTTTTCTTCAGTTTTTCTAACTTTCCATAAGACTGTTTCATCAAATTCCTATATAGATCGAGTTACAATTATTGGAATTTCAGGTAGAGAGTTCCATCATTTTTGTTGGTATCAGCAGCAGTCTCGCGTCTCCTTCCCGCTTTGTCTCCTCATCTCCACCGTACCAACGAATGACGTATGTTCCAGTCCAGTGCCCTGGTTGTCTGTGGTTTTGGGTAGCCAGTTAAGTTACTTCAGTTTCTCCTGATTTTCTCCTGCAAAAATCCACCAGTGACAGTTTGAAGAGACAATCATAATTGAATACAAGTTTAGATTTATAGATGACAAAAATATGAATACAACTTTGTGAACAGTTAGATATGCTACCATACTTATTGCTTATCCTATTCTATTTCATTTTAGACACATGGATTGAAGCAGCTGCACAATGAAATGTGTCTCAGACAACTGGAGGATGACGAAATAGATGAGGGATTGGATGTATTCTGTAAATCGGCAGAGAACATTGGCTGGGCCTCTATTTTGGTTGAAGATTGGATGAGTGAGAACAGGGTCGCTACTAAACAGATTCTCCCTCAAGGATGCCCCAAGGCTAGAAAGTTCTGTAAGTTCTCTATTACCTTCCAAGGCTAGAAAGTTCTGTAAGTTCTCTATTACCTTCCAAGGCTAGAAAGTTCTGTAAGTTCTCTATTACCTTCCAAGGCTAGAAAGTTCTGTAAGTTCTCTTTTACCTTCCAAGGCTAGAAAGTTCTGTAAGTTCTCTATTACCTTCCAAGGGTAAAGGGCTACACACTAACTTTTCTGTAGGGGTCCGGACAGAAATTGTTGTTCTTTATGCATTGATCCTACGTAGAAATTCTGATATTTTGGGGTGGTCTGGACCAAAGTTTAGAGTACCCATGTGTTCTGGGTGCCTGTTAGGGACAGGCCCAGGGTAGAATATTATTATAGGTCCCCTAAAAAGAAAAGACCCTCTGAGCTAAAATTTTCGAAAATGTGACATTTTTGTCATTTTGTGTATTGGAACAAACAGAAAGTTTTCCAGCACTACATCATGTAACATTCCTGATTCAGACATTTGAAATCCATACATTGATTACAATTTTTAAAGATTCAAAGTTTCTTTTATTTTCATTTTGTTTGATTTCATTCAAACTTTCACCCATCTGCTTCTCTGAGTTTTCTGCTTACTTTTAGAGGTAGTTTTGATACTAAGGTTTTATTTTCCTTTCAGTATATCAGAACTCAAACAGATTAAAAATGGATAATTGCAAGTTTACATGCAACAGATGAAATACTTATTGAATTTATGTTATGTGGGAGAGTCTATAAATACCACTGTCATTTCTATGCTTGAAATGTGACAAATTATCCAGAGCTTTATCAATTTGTTGTTCAGATTTGTATTCATCTGATCATCCTCCTTTTATATGATCATTATTGTTTGTATGTGTATTTCACTGTCTCAACAGATTCCTCTAGTAGCAACCAACTCGGATTCATGGACATCAGTGTCAAAACCACCATACCAGTCTCTACCTCGTCTCAGACTTATATCAGACTGGTGAGAGATACTACAAACAGAGACGGAGTATCCACAAGTGAAGTGAAAAATTCATTTCAGACTGGTGAAAGAGAACAGAGAACAGGAATGAAAGACAATGGACATACACATACCAAGGCTCTTGCATCAAAGAGGTTTACTCAGGCATTGCAAAGCACACAAGAAGCAGAAACGACGGTTGACAAAAGTGAAATGTCAGGCCATTGTGTGCTACATAATTCAAATCAAGGACCACAAAATTTTTCTTCATTAAAAGAAGTAGAAAATTTATGTCCTGGAAGATCAAAGCTAGGGTTAAAGGTCAAACTTAGAAGGAAAAGAAAAAGGTGTCCAAGTGATGATGAAGCAAGAAGGGACAATGTGCAACATGCCTTGGAAGATGATGATAGAGATCTGATGAATAGCTACCTCAATATAAGGACCGATGGAGACATGGATCTAGATAAGACAGGAGATAGATCAAAGCTGATGAAAGCAATGGATTCTTTACACTGGTAATCACAAAGCCATGATTATAGAGATTCAATACATATAGCTGGCTTGAGATAAGGACATATAGAGATGCAGATCTAGATAAGACAGGTGATAGAGCAAAGCTAATGAGAGCAATCGATAGTTCACACTAGTAGTCAAGTAGCTGTGACGATAGAGATTTGATGAATAGCTACTTCAAGATAAGGACTGATGGAGACATGGATGTGGATTAGACAGGAGATAGATGAAAGCTGATTAGAGCAATGAATTCTTCACACTGGTATTGGAACAGCCATGATTATAGAGATTTGATACAGAAGGAGTGTCGTGGCCGAGTGGTTTAAGGCGCTTGACTGGAGATGCGGAGGTCGAGGGTTCAAATCCTGACACGGCACTATAATATCCTTTAACGCGATATTAACCTGCAGGTTTTAAATTGGTACCTGGTAGGATGCGACCGTTGGTCAAACAGTTTTTGAGCGTAAAGTAACACCTGACTGGAATGCTCCCCGGGGAGTGGAGATTGTGCACACAGTGTGTGTGGGCAAGTATTGAATCCAATGACCGGAGTTATAGTATATCTGTAAAGAGAGATCGTAGATGTATTAAGCGCTATATAAAAGGAGAATATTATTATATAGCTACCTAAGACAAAGGTAATACAAGGTTTTGGTAAGGGGTCATGAATTTGGTTCAAATTAACATATTGGAACTATATGCAATCCTACAATATCCAGTGATCTCTGTCGCGGTTGATATTGAGTCTAAAGGTATGAAATTGTAAATCATAAACTCTTTATGTTGTATAGCTCCCTCTCAAGGTCAAGATATTAATTAAGCTATAAAACAAGGATTCTTGACTAAAATCGACCTACATTGTATCAACTATTCCCGTTTGGAAATTATATATCACAACTACATATTCTGAGATTTTCATGGTCGCAGCTACCATTGTACGGCCGTAGGCGCTATTTGAAATTTAACAAAATTTACCGGGAGCACTGGTGAATTTTTATATTCAATTTTTCTCGAAAGCAAAAGTGTTTTAGGGGCTAAATTTTCTAGCGCTTTTAATACATCCACAGGGGCATCCAAATATATCAAAATTGTAAAGAATCACTATCCACCCAATTTTCATAATTTCCCAAAACTTTGTATTACCTTTAAGATAAGGACCGATGGAGACGTGGATCTAGATAAGACAGGAGATAGATCAAAGCTAATGACTAGTAATGAGAGCAATGGATTCTTTACACTGGTAATCACAAAGCCATGATTATAGAGACTTGATGAATAGCTACCAATAAAAGCACAAATTGTGACATGGATCTGGATAAGACAGGAGATAGAGCAAAGTTAATGAGAGCAATGGATTCTTTACACTGGTAATCAATATAAGTAGCCATGGGTATAGAGACTTGATGAATAGCTACCAATAAAAGCACAGATTATGACATTGATCTAGATAAGACAGGAGATAGAGCAAAGCTAATGAGAGCAATGGATTCTTTACACTGGTAATCAAATAGCCATGAGTATAGAGACTTGATGAATAGCTACCTCAATATATATGGACCAATGGAAACATGGATCTAGATAAGGCAGGCAATGGATCATAGCTTAATGAGAGTAGTGGATTTTTAAACAGGTAGTCCCAAAACCCATGATGATAACAAAAAACAAGCTTAGGGTAGCTTCGCTTTGCGAAATTAAGGAACACAAAGTGACACATAAAGAATGCAAAATCAATGATTGTTGAAAAGCACTATTTCACCATAAAGTAGATCCACATCATTTAGGATATAAAGCTGGTAAATACATGTAAATGTAGGACATTGATTTTGTTTAATATGTTTTGTGTAATCTTTCATTCAGATATGTCAAATATGGAGTTTGGATTCATCAACATCACAAACTATTATTCCTTTTGTGCTCCAAACGTGTCTTTTGTGCCATTAAATTTTGTTTAGCTACCTGAGGTAGTTAGGACCAATAGTGATGCAAATCTAGATAAGACAGATGATAGGTAAAAGCTGACAAGAGCAATAGATTCTTCACACCGGTAGTCAGGACAATAGAGACTAGAGAATTAAATAAAAACTTGTATGTATAGATTTCAATAAATGGACAGTTTAAGAAATGTTTTCATGCATTATTCATGTGTTTTTCAACCATGCATATTTCAGACTTAGTTGCCACCATGTGTTCTGAACCGATGATGATGAAGATGAAGGATGATGATGACGAATTATGAGAGTGATAAAGGACAGAATAATTTGATGATAATGAAGGTGGTGGCGATGAGACTGATAAAGGGCAAGATGATGTGATGCTGATTGTGGTGGTGGTGATAATGGAGAATGATAAGAGTGAAGAAAGAAAGAATAATTTGATGATAATGAAGGTGGTGGTGATGAAAGTGATAAAGGGCAAGATGATTTGATGATGATGATGGTGGTGGTGGTGATGAAGAATGATGAAAGTGATAAAGGGCAGGATGATTTGATGATGATGATGGTGGTGGTGGTGGTGATGGAGAATGATGAAAGTGATAAAGGGCAGGATCATTTGATGATGATGGTGGTGGTGGTGATGAAGAATGATGAAAGTGATAAAGGGCAAGATCATTTGATGATGATGATGGTGGTGGTGGTGATGAAGAATGATGAAAGTGATAAAGGGCAGGATCATTTGATGATGATGATGGTGGTGGTGGTGATGAAGAATGATGAAAGTGATAAAGGGCAGGATGATTTGATGATGATGATGGTGGTGGTGGTGGTGATGAAGAATGATAAGAGTGATAAAGGGCAGGATGATATGATGATGATGATGGTGGTGGTGGTGGTGATGGAGAATGATGAAAGTGATAAAGGGCAAGATGATTTGATGATGATGATGGTGGCGGTGATGATGGAAAATGATGAAAGTGATAAAGAGCAGGATGATTTGATGATGATGATGGTGGTGGTGGTGGTGGTGATGGAGAATGATGAGAGTGATAAAGAACAGGATAATTTCATGATAATGAAGGTGGTGCATGGTGATGAGAGTGATAAAGGGCAAGATGATTTGATGATGATGATGGTGGTGGTGGTGATGAAGAATGATGAGAGTGATAAAGGGCAGGATCATTTGATGATGATGATGGTGGTGGTGGTGATGAAGAATGATGAGAGTGATAAAGAACAGGATGATATGATGATGATGATGATGATGGTGGTGGTGGTGGTGATGAAGAATGATGAGAGTGATAAAGAACAGGATGATATGATGATGATGATGGTGGTGGTGGTGGTGGTGGTGATGAAGAATGATGAAAGTGATAAAGGGCAAGATGATTTGATGATGATGATGGTGGCGGTGATGATGGAGAATGATGAGAGTGATAAAGGGCAAGATGATTTGATGATGATGATGGTGGCGGTGATGATGGAGAATGATGAAAGTGATAAAGGGCAGGATCATTTGATGATGATGGTGGTAGTGTTGATGGAGAATCATGAGATCATAAAGGACAGGAAGATTTAATGGTGGTGGTGGTGACAGTGGCGGATCCAGGGGGCCTTGGCCCTCTCCCCTTGGGAAAAAGCATGTAAAAACATGTTAACTTTACCTTTTTTGGAGATGGGCCCCTTACCCTGGCGCTTAAGGGGGGGTCCGGTTTTTCAAATTTTCGAGGGCCCACTCCCTCCCCCACTGAGCGAATTATTGGCCAGCATGATTTTCACATTTTGGGAGCAAAAAAAAATAGTGCTCACTACCCCATGCAGTTTAGCATGCAACTCAGAAATCTTCAAGAAAGCCGTCTTGATCGAGTGATAGAGATTGTAATATATCCCTTGATAGCAGGGGCGGTGATTTATTTTCATGACCGGGGGGGGGGGGAGACGAAATGTGAGGGACGAGGGAGCAGTGGCATAATGGGCAAAAACGTTGAGGGCAGAAAAAAATCTGCATCTCCACCACTCTTACATGTTACGCAGGCCCTGGGAACGTTTTTCAAAGTGGGGGGGGGGGGGAGGGAGGGTTAAAGTAAACATGTATTTACGATCAGGTAGAGAAAAGCAAAGCAAAGTGGAGCGTACATTGGCGCGGGGTCCAGGGGCAAAGACCCGGCGGGTGTCAAGGGGCGGATCCTAATGAAGCTCTGGGGTTTTAGACATTTATTAATGTCAGATGAGCCTCCTGGTGCGGAGGAGGCAGAGCCCCCTGAAGTTTGGGGGTTTAAGGCATTTAATTACGGTCAGATGAGCATATTTTGATACCTTATTTGTGACACTGGCATGCAGGTCACTTATTGGGGTGGGGTCCAGGGGGCAGAGCCCCCAGAAGCTCAGGGGTTTTAGGCATTAAATTACGATCATATGAGCAGGCCGCCTTAGGGCCCTTGGTGGGGTCCAAGGAGCAGAGCCCCGGAAGCTCAAGCGTTTTAGGCATTTAATTTCGGTCAGATTAGCAACCAGGGGCCCGACTTAGGGCCTTTGGCGGGGTTTTGGGCACCCGGCAGGTCAGGGAAAAATCATGCCATTTTTACAACATTTGTTAATCACTGGTATCGAATTAGAAATAAACCATGTTTGAATTTCATTGTTTTGGGGAGAACTGCCCCTAAAGCCCCCTGCCCCCATCAGTACGCAAATGCGAGGGAGCATAATGAATGAGAGGGGTGAAGGTGACGGAAGTGACTACCCCCTCACAGGTTTATGAATTTTTGTTGTATTAACAAATTATATTCCTTAGCAAAACTATAGTACGTTTTTTTTTCTCTCTCCTTCTATCTTCATCTCTTGTTTTTCTTGTGTTTTTCTCTTTCTTTTATTCTTTCTATTATTCTTTTGTTTCAGTGATTATATCCCTTATTCTCTTTTCCCCCTTTTTATATCATGGCCGCAACCAATTTACCCCCCCCCCCCCCCTCCGATCCGCCCACTGATTAGCCTATTCATCCCATCCAATACTTGCCGGCCGCGACCCATATAATCCGGGTAGCGATTCTACCCCCCCCCTCTCTCTCTCTCTCTCTCTCTCTCCCTCTCTTTCTCTCTCTCTCTTTCTCTCTCTTTCTCTCTCTCTCTCCCTCTCTCTCTCTCTCTCTCTCTCTCTCTTTTTCCCCTCTTCTTCTTTTTGATATTAATTCCCTTCTGATTTATTTTGTTCTCTTAAAATATATATGCTAATGTTTGTTTTCTTCTGTCGCTTTCTCTTTCCCTTTTTCTCTTTTTAGGCCGGGTCTTGGCCGACTCGTTCCCACATGGATCTGCCACATGCATGTGACATATATCAGAGTAAATTAGAAAAAGATTTCAGCATTAAAATTCATTTTAAATGTCATATACGACAGCTCAAGCGCAGTTTGTCTTCTTTACTCGTGTAGTGTTAAAATAAGCGCTCGCAATGCCTGTTTGAACCCTAAATTTCATATTTGTAATGATGTAGGTCATTATATTATTACGATGTCATTCAATAGCTTTAAACATAAT